TATATATAAAAATTAGGGGGTCCCGCTCCATCTCGCCATCAGTTTGGGGGTCTTTGGCCTAGAAAACGTTGAAGAGTCCTGATCTAAATAATTCATAAACGACCAACCAAAAAAAAGAAAATAAATCATGTTACTGTGGTGTTTGGCGCCATCGCGTGGCAATTTCTGATATCACATCCATGCTTATAAAAGAAGCAAAAGCCATATATGGACAGATGAGTCATTTTAAATACAGTGGAACATATTGCGATTACAGTTATGAATTTTTTGAATCGCCATTCATCAGAAAGAAGTTAACATATGCTGGGTTAACACCTGTTAACGTTGATCGTCAAATAACGTTTTTTTTTTTTTTATGTTTGGGCTGAAATGTAGATCACCGCGGACGTTAGACGATCTGTGCTTACAAAAGATCAAACATCACATGAAGAACATAAAAATACTAAAATAATGAAGGTTCGACAATACAGACGTTATTACCAAAAGATATTTTCATATCATAAAGACGTTTTAGGCTGAAACCCGTTAAAGGTTGTTCAAAAAAGAAGTAAAAAAAAAAAGGCAACAGGGCTGCTGAAAATAAAATGCCAACGCATCATGATCATCACATCGCCAAGAGGACTCGATGGTGTAACATCTTAAAAATAAAACTTACCCTTAATAAATACAAATCCTTCGTCTTGATACATTTAAAATCCATCCAGACCGCAGAGGTTCGGTGAAGTGAACAAAGAATCTGACCGTTGACTAAACCTTCAGGTTTCACTTTTACTTTTGCCCAAAATGCAATCTGCTGTGGTTTTAATGATCAGCAGCTGTGGCAGCTCATCAAAACACCAACTCCGTCCATCCGCACTGTAGAACACCGAAAAGGAAACAGCATATTTTCATATATATTCAAAGAAAATCTCTAAAACCGTTTAACATCTTCTGTGCAAAGTCTTAGCATTTGCACAGAAGATGTTAAACATCGTGTTAGAACAGAAGTGAAAGTGAAATGACTGCAGCCTTTTCTCAGTAACAGATGACGCAGTCTCAGGTTCAACTGAAATACTCTGCTGCATCTACATACAGTGAGGGCCACCATGTTCCACACTCATGGCGTAAATATCGGTAAGCAGACATTCCAAGTTCCACAAACTAATTTCAGGGAGATGTTTATACCCCTGTCCTGCCTGAAGATGATGATCTCAGTGAGTCACTTACCTGGTTCAACAATCCAGTCCCCCCCCATTAGCAGACCCCGGGGACAACGGCCCCATACATACACACTTAAGCATTAGGCCTGCATTATATAAAGTGCCTGCATGTTTAATTTGGGACAAACTTTTATTTTGTTCACAAATCTTTCTGTCTTTGCAAGGTATAAAGAGGTTTATCGTTTAAAAAAGGTTATTAAAATTAAAGTGGTGGGCCAATGTTATTGTTGTAGCCTGGGTGCCAGTCCGAACTTAGTCCCGCCCACAAG